GCCAGGGACACACCGGCTGCGGAAGCTCCGCGAAAACGGGACCGCCTTCATTCGGCGCCCTTGTTAAGCTATTCTATAGACCAGTGGTTCCCAACCTTTTTCCCAAGGGACCCAGTTTTTTACCAGTAAAATTTCTGACGACCCCCTCCCATTCTCCCTTCCAGTATAAACATTATTAAGAAATGATAAAATTGTTCAAGCACATTTTAATATGCTTTGATTCAATAGATAACAGTAATAGTAGGCTCCAGTACAGAACAAAGTCATTAACAAAACCAAACAGAGCATAATGTGCATGACAGTTTGTATTACTTTTCTGAACAGTTTCTTGTAAACACTGATAAATCAATCATTCCTTTCAATAAACATTTGACACATAAAAAATACACTGAGCAAAATGTACTTAAATGTGTATATTACGGTTTATACTAGATTATTTACTGTAAAGGCTGTGATTAATCAACCATTCCTATCTTTAATGAACTTTTGACACTTTAAAATAAAACAGTGAGCTTAGCAAAATGTTCTTAAAAGTGTGTTACTTTTTCTGTACTAATTATTTCCTGTCTTAATATCAGTAAACTTTTCACTCAGGAAAAAAAATGTGAGCAAAATGTAGGCTATAAACAAGTAATAAATGAAGTTTTAACCCCTTAAAGTGGAGAGGTCCTGGTGACCCACTGAGAGGCTTTGGCGCCCCCTTGTGGGGGTCGGGACCCCCAGGTTAGGAACCACTGCTATAGACCACATGGGCCGCCGAAGCGCCGCGAATTGCCTTGCGCCGGCCAGTGTTGCCAGATGTACGATAATTATCGTATTTGTGCCATAATTTTGGGCTCTGTACGATGTACAATCAATAGTTTCAAAAATCCTCAAATGTACGATAATTTCACATTGCATCTAGTAACACCGTCTTTTGCTGTGGCTTTCCCAAGTCAATTACATAATTTTATACTGTTCTGAAGTCAGATTTCACCTCAGTGCTTACAGGTTTATGCTATTATGTCTATTACAAAAACTGACTCTGGAACTAGGTGGGTAGGCTGCTTTGTCATTTATTGGGTCAGTTTTTCCACTGGTGTGATGTTTTGTCGCGTGTGTTTAACCTATGTAGAAATGACATAAATAGGACTGCGTAAATGTGCATATTGTGTCAATGCGTGGAGGTCGGAGTGGTGCCGACACACTCTGCACGTTTATAGGCATTATATTACTGGTTTTAAAGATGTTTATTTAAACAGGGCAATATAAAACACCTTCTTTGTTATATTATATTGGAGTGAGAAGTCGTTTATAGAACATTATTATCTAATTTATAATGTACGATAATTTGTACTGAAAAACGATAATTTAGACCTCTCTGTACGATATTGTGGGATTTTGGATCTGGCAACACTGGCGCCGGCGCTCCAGCCCGCGACGTGCAGCGATCATTTTGGCGTTGGCTCTATTTTTTTCGCGAACAATCAGAGCCAATTCAGAGATATAAAACAAGGCAGAGAATCTGCCTTGTTTTATATCTCTGAATTGTTGATAAGTTTTAGTAAAGCGGATTGGACACTTTAAGTCAACAAGCCAGATTCTCTTGCGGCAGCCGAAAGCTCTGATTGGTTGGAACAATGTGTCATGCGTTTCTATGGAGATGAGGGTCAGTCTGTCTGTGCAGTAGTCCTGTTTTCATTAAACACATAAATCATGACATCTTTATTCCACAGATCATTCACTTGATTATTATTGATCAACATATGTTTCGAATAGCTTTAATCACAAATTAAGTACTTTGATTATTGAAAAGCGTTCTTCTTCTCCTTCTGGCTCTTCTCCTGGAATGTAAACAGTCTGAGGAACACCCGACCTTGGCGTTTTCTACACGGGTGTTACTGTGTACAGGGGCAGCTGTGTGGAGCTGAAAATAATGAACTTCATTACGTTACATATGTCACGATTCCAGTCCTCCAGCCATCCACTTTGCACTAGACATTACCTGAACTCCACTTCCCAGCTTTTCCAGCACCGGTTTTCACCTCTTCATGTCATCGCGCACAACCTATTTCAGGAAGTCCTTCACAACAGTCTGTGCCTAATCTTCGTAGCTTCAGTCAGTCAGTCTCCCATATTCAGTCAGTCAGTCCTCCAGTCCAGTCAGTTAGTTGTCCAGTTCACTAAATCAGTTGTCCAGTCAATCAACCCCCCCAGTCCAGTCAGTCTGCTTTCCAGCTCAGTTGGTCAGCTGCCACTACAAGTCAGATCCAGTCAAGACTCTTCCGGTCCTATTCAGTTCTCTCCAGCGAAGCTTCCTACAGTCAAGTTCCTCTCAGCTAGCTCCAGTCCACTCTAGTTCCTTTCAGTCCAGTCCTTTCCAGTCCACCCTCTTCAAGCCAAGACAAGTCTCAGTCAAGTCTCTCTCAGTTAAGTCCCTTCAAACCAAGTCCTCTTTAGACACGTCACTTCAGTCAAGTTCACTCCAGTTCCCTTCAGCACAGTCCTTTCCAATCCGGTATCTTCAAGCCAAGTTTCTGTTGTCTCTCTGTCAGGTCTCTTCCAATCAAGTCCTCCTCAGTCAAGTCCCTTTCAGTCAAGTGTATTCCAGTTTCTTTCAGTCCAGTTTCAGTCTACAAATAACACAAGCTTCGAGGAGTTCTGCTGTGTGGTGGAGTTGATAATCCTAGAGTTAGCTTCTATTAGCCGATACGTTCTCTGCTGTTTCCTGGATGCTAAAACAATATCAGCCTTCCTTGTCATGAGTCATGTTGGGTGAGTCCATGAATGTTAAGAGATAGTGTGACGTAGATCTGTCAGGATTTTAAAATCCTAGAGTTTCACCATCTATTTTACATCAGAAGCTAATGCAGGAGATAGATGTATGAGACAATTTTCACATTCAGCCTGCATGAAAAACTCAGAGTGACCGATCATTTTCAAAATGAATAAGTACAAATTGATTCTCAGTGAAGGACCTCTTTGAATAAGTCAACCCAATTCAAGATGGCCGCCCCGGCGCCCCATCTGAAACTCAGTCAGATTTACAGCTATTGAGTTACAAGTCAACATCCTTCAGATTGCATGACATCTAACAATTACAGCATGCATAATTAATCTTTCATCCTGTAGTTTCTCAATGTAAGAAAATTTAGTCCAGAATTCTGGCAGTAAATTCAGCAAGTGATATGCATTATTTCAAATACTGTTGTTTTATTTTTAGGGACAGCAGTACCGCAGGTTGTCCAGTAATCGGAAGGTTGTAGGTTTGATCCCGGCTCTGAAACTTAACCCGCCTTGCCTGCTGGTGGTGGTCGGAGGGACCGGTGGCGCCAGTGTTCAGCAAGCCTCACCTCTGTCAGTGTGCTCCAGAGCAGCTGTGGCTACAATGTAGCTCATCCCCACCAGCGTGTGAATGGGTGAATGACTGATTGTGTTGTGAAGCGCCTTGGGGGGTTGTAGAACCCTAAGTATGCACTGTACAAATACAGACCATTTACCTTTTTTATTATTTTCTTAAAGGTTTGACTTTTTGAACAGCTGATACATGAATGCATTACCATGCTTTCCTATAAGAAACCCAGGTTACAAAACTTTGTGGTTCTTAAAAGATAAATGTTAGTATCATTTATTATAAGTTTGTGTAAAAAAAACCTTCTTAATGTCTTCACTTTTATAAAATTTGTAAAAATAGTTTAACTTGTAGGTCACCATTGTTGTTAGCGTCGCAATGCACTCTGGGTAGTGATGTCATATGGTTGTACTTTGGTTGCACCGGCCAGCTTTGGAACCCTGTAGTGACTGTTCAGCGACATCAACATGTCATCTGTTCAGCCTTTTCAATTTGAACCAGAGTGAAACATTAATGAGGACATCACTGGCCATGTTTCACAAAACGAGCATCAACATGAAGAGCAAGAAGATGAAGCGAGTGCAGGACAAAACCGGTGGTGAGTGTGCGACAAATGCGTCTCCATGGTAACCGAGAGGGAAAGTGTTTGTTGTCAAGAGCTCACATTTTTGTCAGCAGAAGTTAACGGCAAACTATCGTGTGATTAAACGTATTCAATTGTGAATGATTTTGGAGAATTTTAGCATCCAGAGCTGTCGTGTGCTTTATAGAAGATTAGGATATTCAGTGAAACCACTGTAATAATTTTTGCAGATATATATTTGGAGAACACTGTATTGCTACACTTACTGCTTGTTTTACTGACGGGCGAGGTGAACGTTCAGCTTCATCCATGATGAGTGGCATGTCCGATGGTTCGCTGAACATGACAGAAGCGGCAGCTGCAGGAGCGGGTTGTCGGCTCAGGAGAGCGTCCAGCGTCTCTTGTCTCTCCGAGGGCGTTTAGGCTCCTTGTGTGGGAAAATGGTCGGTAAAGCATTTAGTTTCCGCCTTCTCTTATACCCAGCCACTCTGGTGAACTCTTTAAGTAGTTGTGGTCGACTATAAGCCTCAAACACATCAGGTAAAAAATGTTGGGAACACAGCCACGGATCTATGGGAAGTTGTGTCCGTCCACAGGCATCTTCCCACTGCTTTCTCCTCTTCTTGCCTCTGGGAAAGCTGTGTAAACTCACATCACTCCCCTTGTTGCCCTTTGACTGAAAATTACATCCAAAAGCAGCACAACGCAGCATTTTATGTAATTATTAATATGGTGAGCGCGTAAACAAACACTGGCGTCAATAGCTATTCTTCCAAGTGCAACCAATATACATCATCGCCCCAGAGTGCATTGCATGCGGAAAACATGGCGTTCTTCGTATGTCAAAAAATGTACTAAATAATACAGATTTATAAATAAACAGCAATATTTTGTGTGTTTCTAACAACACATTTTGATACAACAGAAAACTTGTGGCTTATTAGGGCATACACGTCCTCATAGCTGGAGTTCCTTTTAAAGCCTTGTTTATTTTTTCAGCTACAGAAAAGTGATCCAGTGTGTTCATTTTATGAATAATAGTTAAAAAATTGTTTTATTTTTCTCACAGAATTAATGTTGATGGAAACCAATCACTTTTTATTAATTCATGTCCGTGTTTACAAAGGCTTTTGTACCAAAAACACAAATAGACTGCTAACTGTTCATCAGAAACACTCTAGGTTTGTCCCAGAAATGTCTAGTCTTCTTCAGCTAAATCACTTCATTTATTAGATTTAGATGATTTGTTTGAGATGCTCTCCCTGTGATTCTAACTAACTTATAGTTTAATTTTAAAATAAAATGAGGTTTCCTTGGTAAATTATACAATCTGCCTGAAAATTTGTTTAAAAAAAAAGACCCCATCTGTCATGATCAGAATAGAATAGAATAGAATACTGTATTTGTCAATTCTTCGAATGTGCTTGCCATGCAAGGAATTGAAATTACGTTTCACACTGTCCCATGCGTAGACATTTACATAAAGTGCAGATGCATAACAATAACAAAACAAAAAACATCCCTAACAATAAGATAATATTAAACAGGTAAATATCGCTAATAATATACAAAACATATAGCAGCAGGTGTGTGCAATTTCAAAGCAGAGGTAGTTGTTTACAATCAAAAATGTTTGCCCCGTTATTGGTTCAACCACTATTTCCATTTTGTATAATGTGTGTGTGTGTGTGTGTGTGTGTGTGTGTGTGTGTGTGTGTGTGTGTGTGTGTGTGTGTGTGTGTGTGTGTGTGTGTGTGTGTGTGTGTGTGTGTGTGTGTGTGTGTGTGTGTGTGTGTGTGTGTGTGTGTGTGTGTGTGGTGGGGTGTAGGGTCCAGTCTGTCATCCTATACTCCTGTCACCCTGGTGATTCTGCTGGCTGGGATCTGTGAGGGAAGAGAGTTCAGCAGTCTCACAGCTTGGTGGACGAAGCTGTTGGTGAGCCTGGTAGTGCGGGAGCGGAGACTTCTGTATCTCTTTCCAGAGGGCAGGAGGCTGAACAGACAGTGCGCAGGGTGGGTGGCGTCGTTGACAATTGTGATGGCTTTGCGGGTGAGGCGAGTGGTGTAAATGTCTTGCAGGGAGGGGAGTGGTGCACCAACTATCCTCTCAGCTGTTCTCACAATGCGCTGTATGTATGTATGTATCATATGCCCTGATCTCTGTGTTTTCCTGTCTCCCTGCAGCAGCAGTAATCTAGCTGATTAATTCCACCTGTGCTGCTCCCTATTTAAGCACCTGGCTCCTGCTGCTCAGTGCAGATCGTCTGCTGCCCTGTTACAGTTCCTTGAGTGTTTGCGACCGACCGACCGACCGACCGACCGACCGACCGACCGACCGACCGACCGACCGACCGACCGACCGACCGACCGACCGACCGCAGTCTGTCTGACCACGGAACCCGTCTATTACCTCAGTTCCAGCCTGAATCTGAGTACTCGCCTTCATAGGCATCCCTCACCACTGAACACCGCTGCTGTTTTCAGAAGGTCAGTCACTCTTCAGATTAAGACATCTGAATCATCTCCCTCGCTGACTGTTTTCTGTCTTACAGGCCACGCCACCCGGAACTGACTCCAGATGGTCCCGATCGTGTTAACAAGTCCTTAAACTCTTTAAAACTTTCTCTCTGTTTGGCTATTGAATCCGGCTGATCGTCACTAGGTATGACGGTGACACCATCCTTTCATTCTATTACTCACCTGACCAAATCATGTGTATGACTTGGAGCATTTCAAAACTAGTCACAAACTTCCTCACTCTGGGTGGATGATCAAGTCTCATGACCAAAAGTCTCATGACTGGTTATTTTTACACATCTAAGATAAAAAAAAAACTTCTTTACAGACTGAAACACAAAATCTGTATATAGTAAAAACAAAAAAAAACTAATTCACATAAATGGAGTTATTGCAAAGAGATAGCAAAGCTAAATATAACTTCAGGTTTTATAAAAGTTCTGATGAACATAGAGGAAAGCCAGCTTCTCCTTCAGCAGGTGGAACTGAATTCATTTGTTAACCAGCAAAGCCAAACATTCTCTACCATTTCTGCTTTCATAGCTAATGGTTAACAGATTCACTGTCTCTGGGAATGCACTCTTTAACAGCTATATTGACCTTGGATTTTAGGCATTGTGCACACAGTCCATTAGCAGCATGCTCATTTCCAAAAACACTGCATCCACTGACAGATGTTAAACTCAATGCAATACTGCAATACTTGCTTATTCCAATCTGTTCTATTTGTTTTTGAACAATTTAAATGGTTTTATTGATCTTTTGAAGTTATCAATCTGCTGAGAATCTTAATATCTATATGGGGATGCTTTCATCTAGCTAAAGGAAAACCAGGAGTAGGCAGCTGGTTTCCACTCAGCCATGGACATTAAACAGGAAAAAACAACACTAAAGAGAAGAGGTGGCCTCAGGTTTCAGCAGCTTTGGCTCTTCTTTCCAGGCTGTCTTACAGAGTGAAATGTGACATGGACTACCAGCCAATAAGACCCCTGTGTGGCATTTATATCTGAAGAGGATCTATCGATGCAGAGAAATATTTCTATTTAGTAAAAGCTCAAGTATACAACTTGTTCACATGGGTATTGAAAATGTCTTTTTCCTTCCGGATCTAGGTTCTGTCCTGTTTTTGTTGCAATTTCAGTTTTTGCCATTTTCACACATGACATGAGCCACATCTACTTTTTGCAGACGACACAATTCTGTTGGCGTCCTTAAACAACTTTCAAAATGGCCAAGAGTGAGTGCCTCCAAATCTGAATTCATGGGCACCTGATCAGAAAATGGTTGTATGTACCATTCTGGTCTGGAGTCTTTGCCTCAAGGTTCAAGGTTGTCTTTATTAATCCCCAAGATTGAAATTGAATTGAACAGGAAAGATTCACAAGGATGGAGGAAGAGATGGACCAACACAGAGGGGCTTGTTCAGTCTGGCCTTGTGATGAAGGATCTGAGCTGAATGATTTATTGGTTTGCCCACATCCCAAACCAACCATTTCTATCCTTTTCCAGGGTTGCAAAGGTAATAGGTACAGGAAGGAAGTCCAAACATCATTCTGTGGGATCCCAAGGTGTTCCCAGGCAAGAGGATTTGTAATCTCTCCTGCAGTTTCTGGGTTTTCCCCAGGGTCTCTTCAGTGCTGGAAAATCTCCAAAGGAAGGTGACCAGGGGGCCTCTTATCAGCTGCATGAGCCAAAAGCGCTACACCCTCACCCCTGGTTATGAAGCTTCTCACCTTATTTTTATGACCGAGTCCAACCAACCTAAGAGGAAACTTCTTTTTCTTGAGGTCATGATCCAAATCCATGTAGATGAGTAGGAATGTAGACAGACCAGTAAATCAGAAGCTTACATTTCAGTCCCTTGTTCACCACAGAACTCCAGAGCAAAGTCCGTACAGAAACAATGATCCTTCTATCTGTCCAAAAAACAGATACCAAAGATGATGAAACTAATCTGTTCTCTGTTTGGGATTAAGGCTCATTCCACCTTTTTCCATTCAACAACCATGGAAATTCAGTTCCTTAAAAAAAATCTCTCAGGATCATCCAACAGTGACTTGATTGAAACTTCCTCACAAACCATCAGATGGTGTCAGAAGTAACTGATTCGGTTGGATGGAATATTTGCATGATGAATAAATTGTTTTAAAACAACTAAGGAAAACAATTAAGAAAAAGTACATGTTACTATTGCACACAGAGCTGTTTACTGAATTGACTGATCACTAAAATATTTTATTTCTAACTCAACCAGAGATAAAGAGAGGCTGGTTTGTGTGAACGAAACTAACAGACACCCGGGACCAAAGTCACAGGCCTGAAGGACATCGCTGCCAGGATCAGGGCAAAGTGCTACAAAGCTGCTATTGTTTCATCGTCAGGCTTACGTCTCGGCCCGGCCGCTCCGGTCATCACAGGATCGTCGGCTAGCAGTGCCTACACCACACTCAGGACAATCCAGACTCTTCTCATGCATCGTTCCACAAATGTGGAATGACCTTCCAAGCACCACCAGAACTGTGGCTTCCTTTTCAATTTTCAAGAAACTCCTGAAGACCCTGCTCTTCAGAGAGCATCTTCTTAACTAGCACCCTGCTTGCACCCATCCCCCCCTCTACTGTCCACACCTTGTTCCCTCCTCTCCATGGTTGATGTCAAGTTGTTGTTATTGTTGTTGTTAGCCTCAAGGGCAACATGCCGATTATCACCTGTAAGTCACTTTGTACAAAAGCGTCTGCTAAATACATAAACATAAACATCAAGAGGAACCCCGAGAGGACAAATGACAAAGAATTTTAAGAACCTCTTCCTCTACAGTAGAGTTATTAACAGGCCTGTATTTTTGCTATTTCCTTAATTTGATAGTTAGATCACATATTCTTGAACAGGGATCTTTATGCATATATATATATATATATATATATATATATATATATATATATATATATATATATATATATTTTTTGTTATCATGCTTCGGGTGCATTTGAAATTTTGCAAAAACGATGCATACCCTGTTCAGACCAGCATTCTGGTTTGACTGGTCTCTGAGTGGTCTTGTGTTTATTTTTAAATTCTTACTCCAGCAGCTAATATTTCATCCCTGATCAGTCAGGAAAGGGGCTTCTTTATTTGGCATTAACAGAGGATGTGCACTCATCACTTATGCTGCTGTGTTTTAGTAGCAGGAAGCGCTCTATGTTTTGTGTGTGGGTGGAAGGGTTGGAGTCTCCTCTTAATGACTTAGAGGAACAAAATCTCTAAGGAAACCCCATTTTCTATGGTTGAGCTGAATATCCTCTGTGATGCTCAACAAAAGGTCCAGCATAAATAAATGAAACAAAAACTATTAATAAAAGACAATTTATCTGTATATAACTGCTGGTTTGGGTGCTCCTTTGGAAAAAGCTGCAGCTCTCTGAACTTCACTTTCATGTATCTGAAGTCATTGTCAACTGCAAGCAGGCAGCGCTTTCTGAGAAAAACCACAAGCTTCTTCACCACATTCACCAGCCAGGTGGCAGGTTTAACGTTCTGAGGAACAAAAACAGAAAAATATTTAACTCTAAAGAAGATTTTTACACTCTATGACTTTGTTCTTTTTTACACAGCTGAGTAAAAGAAAATCTTGTTTTTCACCTTACATGTGTCAGCTAATGACTCTAGTCATCATCAGAGTTCACCAGTGTTGGTGGCATCACTTCCGTTTATGTAAGGTAAAAAACTAATTTTGTACTAAGCTGTGTAAAAAAGGAACAAAGTCATGGATTATGAAGAATGATTGTACAAAAGATTTTTTTACACATTTGACACAAATTATATTATAGCTTCTATGATTAGACATTTAGACAAGATATAAGATCCCTGTAAATAAACTCATTCAGTCGAGAAAATCTGATGTGATGATCAGTTATTTAAGATTTGTCATAAATAAATCTCAACAGAAACTGGTACTCATCAAATGACATTCTGACATAATTTAATGGGTTAATAAGTGGAAAATTCATGTTTTTTTTTTTTTTTTACTTAACACACTTTAATAAGCAAAGCCAAGTTTTGGGAGCCAATTTATGCTTTTTATGTTTAATCACTTAGCAGAATCGCATCAAAAGTAACTTACATGTTATCCAACATGCATGTTTTGGGGCCTGCAAGAGGAAGCCAGACCCAAATATCCATGCATGCATGTGGACAACCTGCAAACTCCTCATAGAAAGGTGGCAGTCAGGATCCAAACCTACAACCTGTTTGCTGCAAGGCAGCAGTGGTTCCAACTGCACCACCATGCAGCCATTTCACAGAAACACACCTAGTGGTTGAGTCAGAATCTCACTGAACTGCTAAACTACATCTGGGTAGGGTTTTTCAACTTGTCTCCAAACATTTTTGTTGGCTTTCAGTTTTCCTCGTGTGAGTCCCAGGGCGGTCGTGTTCCCAACAGTTTGAATGAGAATAAAAAAATTGTGGAACAAAATTCTACAGAAATGTAGAGGATGTCTGGAACTGGTCAGAAGCACTCCTCAAACTAAGTCCATAAAAAATGCAAGAGATGTGTGAGAGGTTTAGGAGCAGCTGGCAAACAAACCGTGAACAAAGTGATACTTCATTAGGACTCTACTTGTCCTAATTGTGACAGAAGAATGTGATCCATTTGTTAGCACATGCTACACATGACCCAAAACACAGAGAAAAACGTTGGACTCAGCTAATTAGCTGCTGCTGTTTTAGCAGCCACTGTGGACACAGTTAGCATAGCAACACAAATGTTGTGTTACGATGAATGGGGACAATGTAAACAATTGTCTCATGCTAAATTGGCTTGGTGAAAAAATATTTAAAGAGGACATATTATGACATTTTTCACAAGTTATAATAGTTCAGTGGTGTATACAAAACAGGTTTCAGGAAGGTCTTTGTACAAAATCTCTCTTACATAATGTGATTTCAACAGCTTTGTTCTTGGCAGTTCAGTTCTTTCCACAGTAAGCTGTTTCAGGGCTCTGTCACTTTAAGAAAACAAGCTGGAGCTGACCACGCCCACCTATCATCCTGCTCAGGCTGCTATAACCTGAGAAGCTCCGATATCAGGGAGGGGCTCAGAGTAGAACCACTGCTCCTCCAGCAGCAGCTCTCTTATGCTCGAGAGAGGTGGTTCTAGTGTAAATCCCCGTTTGTGACATCACAAATGAGGACATTTTGAAAAGTCTGGTTTTAGGCACATGATTCCTAAAACCAAACACAGAGAGAATATGGATTACAGTTTATGTTTTTCACATTTAGAGTGTTTATAGAGGCAGGAGAGACTCACATGGCTGCACAAAGGGATGCTAAAGGTGGGTTTTGTATAATATCTCTGTTTCAAACATGGTTAACTTTGAGTCTGAGGTCTTTAATGGTAATAGATTATTTTCCATTAACTGTTAACACTCATTCATGAAAATTCCTCCCTGATTAACCAAGCTCATCTCACTTTGTTTACTCGTGTTGTTTATGAATACATTATTCAATCAAAGCAAATCACCTATTTCAGATCTTACATTTGATTTATTTCTACCAGATTAATTGGTTTTGCATATTATGAAATTTCCTGGGGCTGAAAGTAATTTATTTCTCAAGATCCAATTAGATTTCTGTTTTGCACCAGTAATATCACCACATTTCTGATAAATATCATGAACAAGTTGATCGTTTATGAAACCCAAACCAGATTTATTTGGTTCATCCGTTTTATTAGACAGCTATGCATCACTTCCCTATAAATGAGCTCACCCATTCAAAAAAAAGTAAAACTACAGGATGTGGCCCTTCTGATAATGCATGCTGAAGTGTCGACCAAGAAGATTTTTTACTGAGACGAAACATTTTACGTTGTCATCCAATGTTGTCACAATAAACATTTTGTTTTGAAAACAGCTGAGTCCACACACACTAGGTTAAAGGAGTCACACACACCTTTGCTGTGCATCAGCTCAGCACTAAGTCAAATATTATACTTTACAGACAGCATGTGGCCATTGTAAATTCTAATGAGTGATTATAATAATATGTAATTAAAAATTTAAAGATTAAGAAGAAATCTGACAAACTTTTAGTTCATGTAAAGTGAAATCTGTGTTATTGCTGCTTTTGATTTTTTAGAATTAGAAGTAAGTCCCTGTTCTCTGATCCTTAATGACCTTGAACAGCTGTATGTATTAGTTTCCATATTCTCCTGGAGTAGAGGGTGCAGTTATTACCTTTGATCTAATGAGATTTTATTACCCGATTAGTGAACGCACTAATAGGATCAAGCGCTGCTAAGACAAAGAAGACATCCAGTCTGCATCCGTTTCTGATGAAGATTTTTTTTTACCACAGAAAAAAACTGAGCTGATCACATTTCATCAGTCTTTTTGTTTCATTTTAATCAAAATCTGTATAAATTTCTTTTTTGTCTGATTGGAAACTGTTAGAGTGAAGTTAGAATGTGACTCAACTTCCATTTTGTAAACAGTTCCCTTTTTTAGGGTCTTACTGGAAGCGTTGTGTGTGTGTGTGTGTGTGTGTGTGTGTGTGTGTGTGTGTGTGTGTGTGTGTGTGTGTGTGTGTGTGTGTGTGTGTGTGTGTGTGTGTGTGTGTGTGTGTGTGTGTGTGTGTGTGTGTGTGTGTGTGTGTGTGTGTGTGTGTGTGTGTGTGTGTGTGTGTGTGTGTGTGTGTGTCACAGGACCACATCACACTAATGGTCTGCTTGGATCCAGAAGTCTAAGGGACAAATTTATGTGCTAACGTCAGAATCGAGGACAAACGTGACCAAATAATGAATTTTGATTTTAAAAAAGTCATCCAGAACTTGTGGTTGGAATTCCAAAAACATTCATGCTTTTTCAAATAATTTCACTTATGGAGTATATGAAATAAGAATTAGATTTATAATGAAAAACATAATAATGTGTTCAGGGGTGAATGTGTCTCTAGTTGTTGATTTTGCACACTTCTTGACAAAATATGCAAAGTATGCTGAACAAAGCAGCCATGAACCACAGTTAAAGTACATTTTGACTATTTCTATATGTAATCAGTGATTCTGTATCTCAACATTCTTCTTTTGTTGACCCATATTAAACATTCTTGGTCACACTTTGATTAAACTTGATACCCAAGCTGCTGTGTAGCAAGACAGGCTACGGGTGCCAGTGTGTGCCCTGCAGACTCATCCTTGCTACAACAA